CATTTGGCCATCACAGATGTTCTACACAGGCACAAGGGCACAGTCTAAGCCACATTCCAGGTGTATTCCGGCCCTTGACCCATTCCAGAGCGATGGCCCCCCTGTAACCCGTGTAACGGCAGTGCTCAGAACATCCACAGGTGAGGATACAAGCTAACACCCACTGCACCACCCCCCTTCAGAGCCAGCACTGAGCTCCTGTTTTAATCACATGTTTACATCCTTATTGGCATTGCCTTTTATAGATGGGGCAGTAGAGGGCCAGAGAGTGGTTAAGCTATATTCACGAGGTCGTCAGCTAGTAAGTTGTAGACCTAAGAACCCATCCCTGGCTTTGCCGGGAACTTTCCATAACATCCAGACCTGAACCCTCCATTTTTCCATAAGTACATCTGAGAAGGAAGATTTCCCCCGTGAGAACAAGTTCCCCAACAGGATATGAAGGAAGATCTTAGTACCTTGCTCATTTTATTCCTGATGACATGATAGCTAAAAGGAAATCAAATTTCAAGTAACAAATATTCTAGCTCATTACACCAGCACATTTTCTTGAAAAGGAGAATATGCTTTTATTTGTCTTCCAATTCAATACCTTCAAGTGGATGTGCAAAAACCAGAACCATGGAGCCGATAATAGCTCCGATGAACTTGGATTTTGTAACATGCACATTCTAAAGAGAGCTGGCTGTGTTTCTGTCCAGAAACCTCGATCTCATCATTGACATTTTACAGGATCTGCCTTAATCAGCCAGAGTGGTTTCCCCATCACTCCACAAAAGTCTTACCCTACTTGTCTGTATCCCACTCTTTACAATTGAGAAGAAATGGGTGTTTCCCCAAGAATAACACCTTTTTAGTTTTCACTGAAAATCTTAGAAATACGGCAAAGATTGTAAAGCCTACATCTATGTTCACTACAGTTTGACGATGTCTTTTGGTCCATTCTACCAACAAGCCAATGACATGCCCACTGAGGCTCAAACCAGGTAGTAGCTCAATGGCTGGATGGCATTGGAGATTTGGATGAATGACCCGTGGGGTCATGTAAGAATATAATTCTAGCTAAAATAAATACATAGATAGATAGACTGATAGATCATTTATCTATCAATCAATCAGTCTACTAAATCCATGGATGGGTTATATGTTCTGGGTACTAGATATCCTAGTGGATTTAGACATCCTATTGTTAACTTTGTTTCTAACATTTATTTCCTACAGAATTGACTGCCTATGTCCTCCCTGTATTGCATGGGTCTTCCTGGTCTTTCAGCCATATTGAAATGCTTCTGGTGTTTACCAAGGCTCAGCCACACTGGACTGGCTCTAGGCCTAACTAGGTCCTTTCAGGGGTCATAGTCATGTGCTTACTTCCCCATTTCCCCTAGGGACTCTTGATAGGAATGAGATAAGGGGAAGTTTCTCTGCCACTGGTGTCCAGGATGACCTGAAGCATATGTGCATGTAGTCAGTGAAATACCTCTCCCTTCATGTTCCCTCACCACCCCACCAAGAGATAGGGCTGATCCGAGTCATGAGTGGGAGACGTGCCCACCCATCCACCCACTTAAATGTTACTCAACACATCATCACTGTACTCACAATGAACAAGTTACAGTCCCTAGCCTCAAAGAGGACAAGCATTGAGTTAAGACTGGTTTCAAGAGTAAGAGGCATTATGGAAAAGATGTTATCAGCTGTGAGGGCACCCTGTCTAGATTTGGTCATCATTTCTAAACCCCATCTACTGTCACACTTATCTTAGAAAATGTTACCCTCTGAGAGTGTTGTAGAAAATGTGCGAGAGGATTGTTCTAAGGGACTATTCTAGATAGACCAAAGCCAAGGAGAGTGAGTCCATTCAGAACAAAGAACCATGACCAAGGGGTATTGAAACTGGATACAGCCAAATGGATTATTCTGCAAATGGTCCGTCTGGGGTGACAGACCGTGATCATCTGGTTGATATCACAAAATGACCCGAGAAGGACATGGGTGTTCACGGCTCTGGCTGTTTGAAAAGCGTTAAGAAAAATGGTCTTCCCAGTTCCTCCCTCCCCAGTATGTGTATTCTATCAACTTAGGATTGTTGATGTTTGTCCTGGCAAAAGCAAAATGCCTTTAAATGAAGACTTTAGGAACCATATTTGCATGTGTTCCTCCCAATGACAAGATTAGACTTAGTATTAAAAAAAAAAAAGGGGGGAAAGAAAAAACCCTTAATTTCTAGAGAATGGCTCTGAGGGACATCAATGGATGACTCTGGGGGTCTGCTAATTAAAGAGGACTGATAAGAATCTTTTTCTTTTTTCCTTTTCATCTCTTTGCACGTAGGACAGTCAGCCCTGAACTCAAGTCTTACGCCCTGGGAGTCCTGTTCCTCCTCCTTCGTTTGTTGGGTATGTATGCTCTCCTTATTCCCTCAATAATGAATTGGATGCTTATGACCAGGTGAGTAAATATCCACGAATTTGTCCCACTTCTTGAGCTTGTCTTTTTTTCCTTCTATGAGGTATAATTAGTAATAAATGAGAAATCTTAAGTCTATAAATTTTGCTTAGCATTTAGACCTGTGCACTCTCTGGATTCTGCAGAGTTTTCATTTATATAAGCTCTGTCTTTGGGCCACACTGGATTCTCACCGGCATAAGGAGGAAAAGTGATGGCCCCAAAGGGAAAAACATTTGATGGTGTAACGTGGCTCCCTCATTAAGCAAACCCGAGCAGCTTGTGAAATGCTTCATTTATGGGCTGCCGGCTGGGACAGAGAAGCGTTCCGACAGTGCCTCACAAATGGAAACTTTGTGCCCTTTAAATTTTTCTAAACTGATTGAGTTTATTTACCTTGGGTTTCCAGGATGGGGCAAATGTGACCTTCACGCTATAGAGGCTGTGTTCCAGGGTTTGGTGTGGATAAAAAGAATGCAGTCTAAGCCTGATATTTTTAAGTTGAGAAAACAGAGGATGGGGATATTCCATGGTTCTCCCTGGGTCCTGGGGCCACACAGAAAAGGCTAACCAGGGAACCCAGCTGCGACCCGTCTCCCTTTAGACTTCTGTTGCTTTATGAACATCCCTTTGTCAAGGCCAAGATCAAGACAGTCACTTTCTTTTCCTTCAATAATGGTGGTCTTCCTTATGGGCATTAAATGGTAAATAAATGTGTGAAAGGAGAGAACCATGGCCTATATTTTCAGTGTAAAAATTAAACTCCTCATTTGAATATGTAACTGTGGATGAGCACAAAGACTGAGAAATGTATATGGAAATGTTTGTGAAAAATTGGCCATTACCCAAATGTCCAACAGCCAGGAATTAGTTACATCCATTATGATCTAGAATCCCAGTAAGATTTATGTTCCCTTTTAACATTCTGAAAAGTATTTATAGACTTGGAAAGGGCACATGACATTTGGAAGGGGACAAGGTCTATAATATACTAAAGTGTTTTTAAAGAAAAAACATGGAAAAATATTGGAAAGCTAAACACGAATATGCTAAGTTATTGTCTTTGAATAAAGACGTTATAAATCATATATTCTGGAAGTTTTAAAATTTTGAATATATATGTACCTATTACTTAAATTTTTTTAATGTTTATTTTTGAGAGAGAGGGAGACAGAGTGTGGGGGGGGGGGAGGGGCAGAGAAAGAGAGGGAGGCACAGACTCCGAAGCAGGATCCAGGCTCTGACCTGTCAGCACAGAGCCGTGAGATCATGACCTGAGCTGAAGTCGGACGCTTAACCAACTGAGCCACCCAGGTGCCCCATATGTGCCTATTACTTTTATGACGAGGTGAATTCCTGTATAATTGGCATATGGAAGAATATGAAGGAGCCATTCATAAGGTCCTTCCTGGAAAATGGTAAGTACAGGGCCTGTCACCTCCTCACTTCCCTTCTCCGCCTGTAGCCAAATATTTCTAATCAGTCGCCATGGTCGGTCCTCCTGTACCCAGGACAAGGTCTCAGAATCCTCATGACAGTTCTCAATCCATGTATGTAGGTACACACTGGGAGACTTGAGTGGCATTTTTATCTTACTTTGATTTTGTGGGAAACAGAAATTCTCTAGGTATGAAGATACCCAATTAAGACAAGTTCAGTAGGAATTCAAACTAAAATATTTAGGCCTTCCCGCAGCTTGTAGTGACTTGTAGAATTCCATAACCACAGGGTAATCGTTAGGTTGATTTTTTTTTTTCCTTATCCTCGGGAAGGTAAGGATCGTAACATGCATGGTAACACCTCAGCCCTGTCACCCTGACTTGGGCAGATAAATAGGTAACATGAATATGTAACATCAGGTAGCAAGTTGGGGACCCTTATTTCTGTAAATGGTGAAACCATTTTGCATACACATTCATTTAAGAAACGTTTATGGAGCACACTCGGTGGGCTCAGATCTCCATTGACCATACCCAGGTAAGGGGGTGTAGCCCTCTTCCTAGCAGTTGTCTTGTGAGGTGGCCGGGGAAGGTGGGGATCCCCCATCTGTGGGGTTTCTCTAGGGAAATCTGCACCTCTAAGCAGATGCTAAAGACTCAATATAGCAGGTAAAAAAACAGTGACCCTTCAGAATAATTTGATAGCACAAAAGGAAAAAAAACGCTTGTAAAATATTTCCGAAATGTTAATAATGAAAATTAGAGGATACTTGAAGACAGAATGGAAAATTATAGAGCTCGTATAATGTGACACTGTTAGGATCATTGTATGTTGCCCTCAAGCACTTCCACTATTTGTATGTCTAACCCCAGGGATAATCAACCAGGCATTATCTACAGTGGTATTTTTCAGCTTCTGTGACTGATCTCCAGCAAGAGAAGTTTTATATTATGGCCCAGTACACACATACATATGCATTAATACAGCTGAAACAAAAATTTCACACAACAAATATCCTTAATATATGTGTGTATTCTTTTCTATCCTGTGACTTTTACGAAGTTGGTCATGACACAGTCTCTTGATTTTGTTGCCCACTTATGGGTCACAAATCACAGTCCAGAGAACTCTGCTCTCGCAGGATATGACAGCTTCATCTTTTACTTGAAAGCAGCTTCTCAAAGAAGTCTTTGCAGTTGGCCTGATTCCATTTCCTGCAGCAGCACCCAATAGGATTCCACCAATTAATGTTAACGAGGGGTCAACCAAGCAATCAGATTCCGTGACATTGTCGGCCTTTGAGTTTGGCCCTTATGAGTAATGAGAATTCAGTAGAGCATCACAGTTTGGTGATGGCATCAGGACAGGTGCAGTTTGGGACACATGGAAGAGCCACCTCACCTGGCCTTGGGATGGGGGTAGGGGTGTGGGTCTGAAACTGTGATGTGTACCTTAGACATGAGGACTGAGCAAGAGTTATATAGATGAGTGAGGAGAGAGTGTTTTATATGGAAGGACTTACAGAAGTCCAAGCCCGGGTGGAAGCACCACATTTGGGGCCACGGGAAGCCCAGTGTGGCTAGAGTGTGCAAGGCAAGCAGGGGCTGGCCAAAGATGGGACATGACCTGGAAGGGTTGCTGCCTTGTCAGTAGCTTTGACCTTCATCTCTAAGGTAAATGAAGTCACTGATGGTCTTTAGGAAGTCACCAGATTGTTGTGCATTTGAGGAAAGCTGTGCGGACAATGAGAATGTAGGGATTGATCTATAAGCTGCTGGTCAGAATAACTGATGGCCTGGCCTGGGGAGGAGAGGGTAGAAGAAGAACCTTCAAGGCCTGGTCTCTGAATGAAAGTGTACTCGCCAGAGTATGTAAGAGGGAAGATATCACAGTGACAGCTCCTTAAAAAGGCTTAGATCACATGATAAATGGAGACATTACTTACTGAAACAGGAAGACCACGAGGAAGAGTGCTTTGGGAGTAGCACAGGCCAGCGCTGTCTGTAGAACTTTCTGAAATAATGGAAATGCTTTATATTTGCATCATATGTGGCTATTGAGCACTTGGGTTCTATAAATTTTAATTACTGAAAAATTTAACGTAGCCACATGTGGCTAGTGGCTTTTGTATTGGACAGTCTCTGATGTACCACCCTCAGTGAGGCAGAGCGTGAGAACATGGGGCAGCATGAGACCAGTCTTTCCAGATACAGTAAAACCCTGGTTTGCAAGCATAATGCATTGCAGAAACATGCTTGTCATCCAAAGCAATTGTATATCAAAGCGATCTTCCCCGTAAGAAATAATGGAAACCCAGGTGACTCATTCCACAACCCAAAAATATCCATATAAAGATGATTAAAATATTGTAATATAATACAAAATAATAAAGAAAATACAAAACAAAGAAAAAGAAATGAACCCGCACTTACCTTTGAAAACCTTCGTGGCTGGTGTGAGGGAGACGAGAGAGGAGGGTTATTGTGTAAGGCGACTTTCACTGTCCCTAACAGATGTTGACTATAGTACAGTATTAATAAACTCTTGTCATAGACTATTGGATGTCACTTGCAATAGGCAGCAGAGGAAAGGGTCTATATCTGCAGGCAGCCCGACCTAGAATGAACCAAAGCATTCCTAGGTTTACTCTTGTATGGAAAAGCAAAGGACTGTCCATAGTTGGTTGGAAGTGACAAAAAAAAAATACACTAGTTCCAGTTGTGGGCACCTTCCAACGTTTTGAAAAAAATTGCTGATTTCTGCCACCAAACACCGCAGCCTGAGACCGAGCATCTGAGCATGAGAGACTATCACCCACAATCCTGCAGAGAGAGGTAGAGAGAGAACCACTGGCTCATCTGTGATCATGTGATGTTCAGCATCACGAACTACTCCTGTCGGAAGACATCATTCATTTTTCAAGTAAAAATGTATTAGAAATTTTTCCTCATCTTATGGAACACTTGCAGAACAGGTTACTCTCAATCCAAGGTTTTCCTGTACTTAGTTGCGAAGAGTATAAGGAGAGAGGGTAGGACCCAGAAGTGATGTGAGATTATTTTTTTGTGTTGCTTTAAATGCCAATGGAAAGGATTTGATAGAGCAGGGGTCAGTGTGGCTCAGTGAACTTCCCCAGCAGCCTTGGAGTCAAAGTGGGAATGTGGTTGGTAGTATCAACAGCAGGTGTGGTGGAAAGAGTGTGCGGCAAAGAAATTAAGGATGACCAGAGTGGGTTTAAATGCCCTATGGTACGTCAGCTGGATAAGGAAAACCGGAAAAAGCCCAGGATGTAGAACTTCACTGATGTCTATGGAGAAGCCCAAGGCACCCAGGACAGTGGCAGAAATTGAGAAGGACACTGAGCTGGGTCAGTAAATTCAGAGGAAACTGAATGGTCTACTCCGAGCAGAATTCCTGATGCAGTCAAATCCATCCCTTTGCAAATGCCCTGATCACTGCTTTTCTCTCTGGGTGTTGGCAAACCATCTGCCTGAAGGCCTGATCCAGAATCTTGCCCCTGGGGTCTGCTGTGTGTTGTGGATGTTACGCCAAGTTAAATTAATGGAAACAAATACTCACTTAGATCCTGCTACCTCCAAGACATTGTTCAAGATGCTGCAAAGAATGTAAAATACACAGAAGGCAGCACTCTGCCCTCATGGGGCCCCAGTAGAAGAATGAAGCAGGTATGAAGAATATATAGGGCTAAAAGGGGTCTGGACCTTGAATTTCAAGGGAAAAGGAGATTTTACTTGGCTAAGTAGTTGCCAGTGTGGAGCAAATACAGTTGAGACAAGAGTGGATATACATGGAGAGTTCTGAGTTAGGGAGATCCGCCTGGCAGCAAGGTGCATGGAGGTTCTGTAAGGTGTAACACAACCAATCAAAGCATCGAAGGGAGAAGCAGCTAAGCAGAGTAGAACAGTGGGATTAAAAGGCAAGGACAAACGGAACCGTACGGTGGATGTAACATCTATTGAAACCCCTCACCCCACAACTGACTGTATGAAAGCAAAAGAAAATGAACAGAAGTGCAAGGGGCAACAGAGGATTTCAGCCCCAGTGACGGGGCGTATGGAAAAGCCTTTCATAGAGCGGGAGATGCAATCTGTCAAGTGTCTCAAGGGTGTTGCTGGGGCTGGGCTGGCCACCACAGCGTCTCCTCCCACAAATGTCTGCTCTTAGTTTTCAGAGCACCTGCTAAGCAAAAGCGTGGAGAACCTCAAGGTGCCCCCTCTGGACCCAGGTGTCATTCCTAAGCAGAATGTCCCTGGGTCTTGGGTGATTGATGAAGTACTGCAGGAGTAGCACATATGGGAAGCTCATCAAACATTTGCCGAGCTCCTCCCATGAAGTCGTGAATATAAAGAAGTTCTATGGGCAAGCGGGAGAAATGAACCCATTACATGAGTGCTTTGGAAGAAATCAGCACAGTGTGGCAGGAGCCCTGGACAAGGAGCCATGCACGCAGCCGTGAGATGATCGGGATGGAATACCGTGGGTAGAAGGCATGGAAGACCCCTCCTTCTCATCTATGCCTCCATTTGCTTATTCAGCAAACATTGTTTAAGCAGCGATGGGTCCGACATCCTGCAGTGCCGCCATCACCCAAGATCTGCTTCCCTCTCTGCGCTCAGGTGTCCTCACAAAGTCACCGTGGACCCCTCTACAGTCAGACACAGCTGGATTGGAGTCCAGCCTTGCCATTACTGGCCTGTGGGCTTGAGTAGGGTATTTAAGCTCTTTGAGCCTTAGTGACTAAGTTGGATTCCAGGGATGAAATGAGAGCAGAGTAGCACTACCCAACTTCTCCGATCCAGTAAAAGTGAATGTCAAGTGCCCATGAGCAAAATGCTGGCCAGTGCCCAAAGTCCAGGCTCTTTCTTGGCATTGCTGAAGCAGAGAGGATCTATTTTTTGCCAACCCCCTCCGTAGCTTGTGCTCGACAGGACTATAATTCCATCAGGCTGAAGCGGGATTGCACGGTGACTTCAAGTCTTGGCAAGTAAGCTGGAGAGGAATGGATATGTTTTGAAATGTAAATGGCAGAGTAATTTTCAGCTTCCATTTTGTCCCAAAAAGGTACGTGACTTTATTTTTCTTACAAAAGCCTTTAAGTTCACCTTTAAAGTTTACACCAAAGAATATAAATAGGCCCAGCTCTTTCAGCCGGCGGAACTGAAGTAAACAGCCGAAATACAAAACCAGGGGATTTAATCTCCATTAACGGATTTCAGGAAAACAGAAACCCTTTCCTTGAACAGCACCGCAGTTTTTGCATTGAAGTATGTAAATATATGTGGCTGCAGTTTGGGCCAGAGTATAATAGGAAGTAAGAATTTAATCCTTTTAATATTCTCTGTAGTCACACATAAGAGCATGGAGACTCTGGGTACCGTCCGCAACCTACTGTGGCTTCCCGATGTCCCCGTGATGGGGCAGTAGTCATGCCTACTCCATCGGTGAGTTTCTCCTCAGGAGACATAGGGAGAAGGGAAGAAAAAAAGAGAGAGGATGCTATTGCAGCCTCCAGGGAGGAGAGTGTCCTTCTAAAACACAATTTCTAGAATACTATTCCATCATCACCCGCCCTCCTCGTTCCTTAGGTAAGTGAGGGCGTAACGGAATGAAGATGCTCTGAGCAGGAATAGGCCCTTCACCTTCTCTACTTGGCCTCCCTCCTGGAAGCAGCTGATGATCCTCCAAAACACTTATTCTTATGACATGAGGGATTCTTGCCAGTTGGGGTTATCCTCGGAGTCTTGGTTTGAAGAGTATTTTGCAACTCTTTCTCTGGAGATGGCGATGTAAAAGAGGGCACGTCTCCAGGTGTCCAGAGAACAGGAACAGAACCAGATATGTTAAGAGCCCACTACACATGGGGCTTTCACAAATGCCATCACATTCAATCCGTATAAAAACTCAATACAGGAAGTATTGAGAAATACAGAAAATGTGCCCATTTTAATAAACAATGCAACTGAGATTCAGTGAAGTGGCTTCCCAGGGTAGCAAGTTCCCAAGTTGGAAGCCAGAGTCCGCTATTTCCACTCCCAAAGCTCTTATTTCCTCCCCACCACTGAGCAACCTTCAGACGTGAGCTCTCTCTCTGAAAAAAGCAACTGTCCGCTCTTTCCCCTGACAAGTATCTGCCAGTACTGCCTGAGCTGTTCTCCAAAATACTGAGTTTGCTTACAAAACTGTCTCCCAGTCTTCTCGATGCATTATTAACCCTGGAGAAGGCACTTTGCAAAGATCAGAACCTCTTTGTATGTGGGTTTCCCCCTCCACACTTTGCAAAGATCAGAACCCCTGTGTGTTTCACCTCTGAAAGCTTCAAAACCAGCCTTCAGCAAGCCATTTATTCCCAGGAGCTTAGCAGGAGGGTAAATAAGATGTTTTCCGTAGCCCTGGAAATCCCTGATAAGAAGCCCTAAAACCTTCTCTTCAAGTCAACAAACTTTGAATTAGTAAGAAGGAGATTATTGGGTTTGGGGTTTTGAAATGTCAATCCTGGGACAAATAATTAATCTCTCCCAGCTTCAGTTTCTCTGTCCATAAGATAGGGGGCGTTATAGGGTTACGGATGGGGGCTCATAATACATTTAGAGTGCCCCCACACAGTGCCAGGGAGAGGGGGAAGTTAATAGACAGTAGTTATTGTGTTAACCCTAAAAATAAAAGTTATTTACCAGCAAAAATGGGTTTATTCAGGAATAAAAAAGAATTGCAATTTGGGATATGCAAGCCATTGCAACACCACAGACTGGTCCCATTGTAAACAAAGGAGAGGAACATTATTTTTTTTTAATATTTTTATTTATTTCTAGGAGAGAGAGAGAGACAGCGTGAGCAGGGAAGGGTCAGAGAGAGAGAAAGATACAGACTCCGAAATAGGCTCCAGGCTCTGAGCTGGCAGTCAGCACAAGAGCCCGACGCGGGACCCGAACCCACGAACCGCGAGATCATGACCTAAGCGAAAGCCAGACGCTTAACCGACTAAGCCACCCAGG